AACCCCATCCTCATCATCATATAGTCTATAAACTCCCAGCACACTTTCTCATATGCTCTCTCAAAATTGACCTTAAATAGAAAACACTTCTTCTTCTTCCTTTTGGCTTCGTCAATAACTTCATTTGCAATCACTACTCCATCCACTAATTGTCTTCCCTCGATGAAAGCCATCTGCTGCTCCCCGATTACCTTGGATAACACCTTTCGTAATCGGTTTGCTAGTAATTTTGAGATGACTTTATACATAACTCCTATTAGTGAGATGGGTCTGTATTCTTCAATTCCTTGAGGGCTTTCAGTCTTTGGGATTAACACAATGAAATAAGCATTTGACCCTTTGATGAGCCTGCCATGTTCTTGGAATTCTTGTACAAAGCCTACCACATCTGGTTTTTTGACCTCCCACATTATCTTTATAAATCTGAAATTGAATCCGTCTGGACCTGGAGCTTTGGATGAGTCACAATTCCATATTGCTTCTTTAATTTCCTGTTTTGAGAATCCTGCCGTGAGAAGCTCATTGTCTTCCTTTGTTATTTGCTTGAAGCTTATCCCATCTACCTTAGGTCTCTTCCATTTTTCTTCTGCAAACATTTCTTGGAAGTATTTAGCAACCTCTTCCTTTATTTCTTCCACTTCTGTATGCTATTTCCCATTGATTCGAATACTATTGATCTCGTTTCTTCTCCATCTTCCTTTCACACATCTATGGAAGAATTTTGTATTCGCATCCCCTTCTTTTAACCACAGCTTCCTTGATTTTTGTTGCCACATCCTCTCCTTAATTCTCAAATTCTTCCACAGATCAATAAAGTTGTTTCTCCTTTTCTCTACATCAGTAGCCGACAATTGATTCTGCTCTCCTTTCTCATCTATTGCAGCAATAACAGTTTCGGCTTCCTTTATCTTGTTGTCCATCTCTGTGTTCATTTTACAACTCCACTCTTTAAGTACTTGTTTTGTTCTTTTCAGTTTTTCCTTGAGTTTAAATTCGTTCCACCCACTCACTTCATTGTTGATCCATGCATTTGTGATCACCTCCTTGCATCCTGGTTGTTCAAGCCAAGCATCATAATATTTGAATGGTTTTGGGCCCCAGTCAACACATTCATTCTTCAGCAAAATAGGACAGTGGTCTGAAACTGACCTCCTCAATCCCCATTGTTTCACATCACTCCATTTTGTGGTCCATTCTTCGGATAATAAAAATCTGTCAATCCTGCTCATGTATTTCCCATTAGAATTATACCAAGTGTATTTTCTCCCCACCAATAGCAAATCAATCAATCCCATGTTATGGATAAAAGCATCAAATTCCCTCATTTCATTAGTAGTCACAGTACACCCTGCTCGTTCCTCAACACTTCTCACAGCATTATAATCCCTTGCTAAGCACCAGTTCCCCCTTCTGTTAGTAATTAAGCCTTGTAACTCCTCCCATAAGGCTCTCTTGCTTGTGAGTTGACAAGGTGAGTATACATTTAAAATGTACATGGGTGTTTTTTCTGCTTCCCACAACCCAAACACCCCAATAAAATTATCTCCCTCTATAACCTCTTTCTTCTTGAGTACTTTGGAATTCTAGACACAAAGCAAGCCTCCCTAGTTGCCATTAGATGGCTTTGTAACCAATTCCATATCATCTGTCACCCATAAGCTTCTGCAAATTTTTCTATCTACTGCTTCCATCTTAGTCTCTTGAATTGCTAGAAATTGTATTCTTTCTTTTGTAACTAACTCCCTAATCTGCCTTTTTTTCCCATCCCCTCCAAGACCTCTAATATTAAATGACAACAATATCATTGAGATCTTTTCATACCTTCTTGTTGTCTTCATTGTCTCGGTTCACCATGGTTAAGCTTGCTTGTCTGTCTCTAACCTCCATCTCCTCAATTCTTTGGATCACCTCATTATCGTCCTCTGCCACTACTCCGAGTTGTGTCACCAGATCCCAAATCTCCTCGGCCAATTTGTTTTGCCACTGCTTCTTCAAAGATCTGTTACAATTCTGTATACCACTGTCTCCAACTGAATCTCTGGCAACTTTTCCATTTGGGTTTGGTAGGAATGTTGGAATTGGTCTTCCTTCCATTTGTTGCGTGCTCTGTTTCCCTCTTTCTCTTTTTCTTTTTGCTCTTACAGCCCCTACATTGGTTTCTAAATACACCAAGCTGCATCGTCTCACCCTCCTTTTCATTTTTGAACTTATCTCCTCTAAATGTTTGCCAATCCAGTCTTCTATGCGACCTCTTTCCATTTCGTGCCCCCTCCAGAACACATCTTCATCGTCGCTATTGCTTTCATTTCTAGGTTTTTCGCTTCTAAATGAGCCCCTTTCCTTGTTTGTATTTTGGAACACCTTTGCCATTTTAGCTTGGGCCAGACACATCTTTGTTGATTCCTTTCCCTCTGGGCTTTCTTTTTGTGGGATGGGCTTCTCCTTCGGCTGCTTATTGGGCTTCATTTTGTGGTCCCTTTTTTCTCCAACTTCTTCTATACTGTCTGTTAGTGAATCATGGATCCCCTGTCTTTTTGTCATCCCGCCTGCCCCTGTACTTCCAGCAGCAGCATTCAAAATTTGAATTTCTTCCAGGCTATCATCCCCTGTTTCTGCTGATTCTCGTTCCTCCTTACTGGCTTGTACCGAAGGTCTTCTCCCTCCCTCTTTCATACGTGCCACCACATCATCATCTTCTTCAATTGAGCACCCAACCTGTTCTTCTTCATTCTTCTCATCAATTTCTACATCCTGCATCGCCAAGTCACTTCCAGTAGACCATGTTTCATGATCTTCTATCTCACTATTAAAAGAGGGCATAAAATCTTGTTTCAGAGAAAAGAAGCTATTTGTGAATTCTTCCTCTGTAAATTTCACATTGTACATGCTTCCATTAATCTTGATTTACCAATGGGCATCAATTAATATTAACAGCTCTTTGAATCTAATGATTTATCCTCAAACCTTAATTATTTTTTTATCAATAAATGAGATATTATTAAAGAGATACAAGAGGTATCTCAGTCCCCAAACCTTAGTGCTTGGATTTTGTTTTTTTTTTTGGTACATCAGAAGCTGTAACTTCAGCTCACGTCCTAAGGAACTTGGTCCCTATGTAATCACTTTGCAAGATCATATGAATACCCCGTAGGAGTTGTGGCTTAGTGCTTGGATTTAGTTAATAGGTAATTCAACTTCCATCAATTACTTAAAAATTTCCCCTTCCCCATTATTCCCCATATTCAAAAAATGAAAAAAAAAAAAAAAACTAATAGTAATGGAAGCAGACCGTAACGGTTAACTAAGGGGTTAATGTGCATCAATTCTGTAGTTTAGGGGCTTATACTCTTAGAAATTAGTTTGGGGGCATATACGTAAAAATGAGAAAGTCTAATGGCTTACTTATGGGGTTTGCCTGACTTTAATTTCAGAGCCTTTTCTTTTCTTCTTGGGTGTTATGTATTTTCGGAGTTCCAAGAGCCACTTTCAGCAAGGTGTTATGTCACTGACAGCAAGCTGTTAGCAATATGGCAATTAATCACAGAACAAAGCAAACCTTTAGTATTTACTAGCTTGTTCCACCCCACTCAGTGGGGTGTGGTCCATATTTCAAGCTTGTGGGTTTTGACATAATATGTCTACATGTCAGCCTTCCCACGTGAATTAATTCAGAACACAGTGGCTGTACAAATGGCCAAGTGATGAGGAGGACCTACAATTGTCTGATTGGGATTGAATTTCTTCCATTTGTCACTCTTGATTCTCATGACCGCAATAGTAGAAAACTGGAATCCATAATGAGTTAGGAATCTTTTAGTTCTAGCTAGGTATCCACTTGAGAAAATACAAAGTCAGGTACATACTAATCAATCTAACCTTCATCTTAGCATAAACAAAAATTTTCACTTAATCTTGAATTTAATTGCCACGAGAAGCAATTGCAAGAAAAGACTCGAAAAAGTAAATAAGAATCAACAAAAATTCCATCTTCTCATTAACTAAATAATATCATACTTTATTTGGTTTCAAAAACAAAATCTTGCCAAAGATTTTTTTTTTACAAAAAAGCCTCTTCAAATAAGCACAATTTGAGTGCTTAGCTGAACCCAACCAAGTTTCCCATTTTAAGATTTCAAACAAAAACCAAACTGGAGACTTCCAACTTTTCTCTTAGCACCCTACTGCAGAAGATGAATGATGGAGAGTATGGCTGCCAAATACCATTTTTAGCAGGTGCAGTCTTTAGCAAATTATGGTTCTCACTTAATTAGGCATAAATAGGACTGGAATCATGTTAATGATATTTAAAGCAAAGGACAGGAAACCTACCAGTGCATTGAAAACTTGAAAGAAATAGTAAGAGAGAGAGGAAAAAAAAAATTATAGAAAGCAAAATCATTATTGCATTATTTAGCCAGTCAGCATTGCATTAATCCATTTTCCATGACAATTTGTAAACAGAAATTTATTCATAAACTTTCATTGGCTAACACTGTCATAAGACATTGTAAACCACACATCCCATTGTTGAAAATGGAGAACCAAACAAAAAAAAAGAGAAAACATGTTATCATATTATACCCCAAAATCAAAATTAACCAGCCAAATTAACATTGCATCCACATTACCTGCTCGTTAAAGAGACAATTAATAGATAAAAACAATCTAGAAATCAAGTTGGAAAAAATATTCAAGGAAAAGAAACTCAAGTAGTAAGTGACAATAAAAAGAACAATGAATACAACTCTAGAACTCCAGAACATCTCCACCTCTTCGAACACATCAGTCATCACCTTCTGTAGTGGTGGTAGATAGAGGTCATGAGATATCAGAGGTCACGAGGTGTCAAAGGCACGTTGGTAGATAGAGGTCATGAGATAGAGGCATGTGGGCAATCAGAGGTCACGTACCTCACAGCTGTTAGAGGTGCACAACCTCGGACAGCTGGAACAGCTCCCAGCATCTAACTACCTTGACTTGATTGAAGGGCGATGAGCTCGGCCGAATTCGAGCTCGTCCCCTTTGCTCCCGCTCCACAGTAGCTCCGTATGCACACAAATCCCTCATGAGAAGCACCTGCGATGTTTGACACGCATTGCCCTGGTTTCTCGGAAGGATCAACATGTGGACTCCCCCTTGAAGGCCTATAAATACCCTCCAGGGTCCACCTCAAAAAGGTACTTGAAACTGACCTCAAACTTAGCTTTTATTCTTGCTCCATAATTGGTAGCTTTGATTATTGTTGACTTAGGCATCGGAATGTCTACCCGGAGGACCAACCTCGGGGCCTTGCAGGATAGCCGAAGCAAAGACTCGAGATCCGAAATACCCCTCAACTCTCTGCAACTACATTGGCGCCGTCTGTGGGAAACTCGAGCTAAAAGCCTTACTAGCGGCTGTTACAATAGTTAACACGCGCTCAACGCAACACGGAAGCCCTCAACAGGGGCGTGGAAGAGGTTAGTTCCTCGGCAGGAACCCCATGTCTCACCCTGTACCACCTCCTACAGCTCAACACCAGCATATAGAAGGGACTGGGGAGAATAACCCAAACTCAGTGAAAATCCCAAATGACCCCATAGCCACCCAACTTAATGCCATGCAATAGCAGTTCGGTGTGTTCCAGCTCATGCTCGCCCAATTGTTAGCTAGAGACAACCCAAGTGACCCCTTCATCACCCTACTAAATCCCACCAACCAAGCACCTAACCACCAGCCTCGAAAAAATGTCAGTTCACCAGCTCGGACTGCCATCCCACCTCACAACGAATCCCAAGCCCATTCCCATATGGCACCTCAACCTCAACAACCATCCCGACCGGTTGTCTTAGATCTTCCCAACAGACCACACTTAGAACAAATGGTACTCGAGAACCAAAGTCCCCAAACCTCAACTCAGCCAAGTTCTGCCCCAATCCCTACCCCCCTTAACACCAACATCATCCAAGAACCATACCCATCTGGGTTTAAAATGCCTCAGTTCGAGACATATGATGGCACTAAGGACCCTGATGATCACTTGCACGCATTTTGCTCCGTCATGCAAGCTTAGACTGCCTCAGATGCCTTGATGTGCAAAATTTTCCCCTCTACACTACGTGGAAACGCTCGGACTTGGTATTACAGTCTGCAACCGAACTCGATCAGTTCCTATGCCTAGCTGCCAGCGTTCTTTGCAACGAAGTTCTCAAGTCATCGGCTGATCAAAAAAATGACCTCCGAGCTTATGTGGGTGGCCCACAGAGAAGATGAATCTCTGAAGAATTACAAGAATAGATTCAATGATGCAGTGCTGGAGATTGGCTCATTTAATTAGGCTGTGGGGTTAGCTGCACTAATCCAAGGTCTCAAGCACGAGAGGTTTCGAGATAGCCTGATAAAGCATGCCCCTACCACGTTTGATGAAGCCAATGAACGATCTTGGAAGTTTATTCAAGTCAAGGAATATGCCTTGTCCGGCAAGCCAACTCCAAGTAAAGAGGTCAGACCTCCGACGTGGAGAGATGAAGGGCAGAACAAGAAGAGATTTAGAACTGCACAAAACCGAGGTCCATTCCCAACTAAAGTGGACATACCCCCAGTGCCTACCCCACAACCTATGGCGAAGCAAATCACTTGGACTCCATTTACCCTGCCGAGGTCATAGATTTTAATGCAAATCAAGAACAAAATGGAGCTTAGAAGGCCCCTACCTATGCGGAGTTCACCTACCTCAAGGGATCAGAGCAGATATTGTGACTTCCACCAAGACCACGAGCATAGCACGGAGGAATGTAACAGTTTGAAGTCCGAGCTCGAGGGTTTAGCTTGGAAAGGGATGCTGAATGAGTACGTTTTTAACAAGGACCAGCTCAAGTTTGTCCGGGAGCAGGGACGACCTTAGCTATCTCGGGATGCAAGCAACCAAATTGGAGTTGGCTATCAACAAGCACCACCTCCACTCCCTCCGCCCTCACGCATCATTCACATGATAACAGGAGGGCTGGAAGCTGGAGGGACGAGCTCAAAGCAGCAGAAGTTATATGTGCGAGAGGTGAAGCACCAAAATCGGGCTCAAAAGAGAAAATTTGATGAGACAGACTGGAAGAACCAACCCATAACCTTTAGTTCAGCTGATTTTGATGGTGTTGTCACACCACACTATGATCCACTTGTAACCTCAGTCATCGTCAATAATTGCGAAGTTCAGCGCGTCCTTGTAGACACAGGAAGTGCTCCGGACATCATGTACTATCACTGCTTCAAAAGCCTTGGCCTCAACCCTACCCTCCTACAGAAGTATGAGGGCCCCATCTACGGATTCAATAATCAACCAGTGCCTGTGGAAGGAATTCTCAAACTTAATGTAGCATTTGGCTCAGGTCGGATATATGTAACTCCCTCAATTCGGTTCTTGGTAGTGAAGATGGCGTCATCCTTTAACATCGCCATCGGGAGGCCAACTTTGACTGAGATTCGAGCCGTTGTCTCACAATCCCACCTCTGCATGAAATTCCCCACCCCCATGGGAGTGGCGACTTTGAGAGGAAATCAAGAGGTAGCCAAGTACTGCTACATGACTTCGGTCTCCCGACCTTGGAGGGATAAGCAAGTAGCAAACCCAGAACCAACTCAGCCTGAAGTCCCAGCTACACAGCAGGTAATGGGTGTAGAACTGCAGGATAACAGACCTGAAGGTGAATCCAGAGCCACCCCAACAAAAGAGGTGGAATAGGTACAGCTCGACGACAACAACCCCACTAAAAAGACATAGATTGGGACCAAGCTGAGCTCGAAAGAACGAGAAGAGCTCATTAGCTTTCTGAAGTCGAACAAAAATGTGTTTCCTTCGACCTCAGCTGATATGCCGGGTATACCCACCTCGGTCACCGTACACAAATTAAGCACTCATCCTTTGAAGAAACCCGTAGCACAGAAAAGACGCCTGTTTGGCGGAGAAAGGCTGGAAACAATCAGGTTAGAAGTATAGAAACTCTTGCAGGCAGGGTTTGTAAGAAGGTAGACTACTGTGAATGGGTTGCCAATTCTGTTTTAGTCAAGAAGTCGAATGGCAAATGGAAAATGTGTATTGATTACACAAATCTAAATGAGGCTTGCTCAAAGGATTACCACCCTTTGTTGAGTATAGATAAGCTGGTGGAAGTTACATCCAGAAATGAAAGACTAGCCTTTTGGATGCTTACTCGGGATATCACCAAGTCCACATGGCACCCGAAGACAAGGTAAAGACCTCCTTCTACGCAGGTGACGAGATCTACTATTATGTAATGATGCCGTTTGGGTTCAAGAACACCGGAGCTACATATCAGAAGATGGTGACAATTGTGTTCCAAGCTCAGATAGGCAAGAATCTAGAAGTCGACGTTGATGACATAGTGGTTAAAGGTCTCAAGGTAGAGGATCACCTAGCCGACCTAGCAGAAACATTTAACAACCTAAGAAAACACCGCATGAGATTGAATCCAGCCAAGTGTGTCTTTGGTGTTGAATCAGGCAAATTTTTGGGATTCATGGTCTTTAGGAGGGGGATAAAAGTCAATCCTGAGAAGATCAAGGCAATAAAAGAGATGAAGCCACCAAAGTCAATTAAAGATGTGCAGCGCTTAGCTGGAAGAGTAGGAGCTCTGCACAGGTTCATATCTAAGTCTGCAGAAAAATGTCTGCCTTTCTTCAGAGTCCTGAGATCCGTGGCCCAAAAAGATGAAGCAAGGAAACCTAAGAAGTTTGAATGGACCTCAGAGTGTCAAACCGCCTTCGATGAACTCAAACCATACCTCGGCTCACCACCTCTTTTAACTAAGGCCGAAAAAGGTGAAATCCTTTATCTTTACCTCAGGATATTTGATGCAGCAATAAGCTTAGTCTTAGTCAGAGAAGCAAGAAAACAGCAGAAGCCAGTATACTATGCCAGCAAGGTGCTACAAGGAGCTGAGCTGAGGCACTCCATTGCAGAAAAGGCAGCTCTAGCAGTAGTCACCACGACAAGGAAGTTGAGATCCTACTTTCAAGCTCACCCCATTGTTGTATTAACCGACTAACCCCTGAGACAGATCTTGCAGAAACTGGAATGCTCGGGCAAACTTATCAAATGGGCAGTAGAGTTGGGAGAATTTCAGATAACATTCCAGCAGAGGTCGTCAATTCGGGCTCAGGCCTTGGCAGACTTTGTTGTAGAATGCACATCAAGTTGTGATAGTGTTGATTCTGATGTTGAGCTATAGACCCTCTATGTGGATGGGTCATCAAGCACTAGAGGGTCGGGTGCTGGAGTGGTGTTGATGGGGCCAGGGAACTTTCGAAGTGAGCATGCCCTGAAATTCAATTTTGAAGCAACAAACAATATGACCGAGTATGATGCACTTTCCCTCGGGCTTCGCTTAGCAACAGAGCTAAAGGTCAGATCCCTGCAGGTTTACAGTGACTCACAACTCATAGTCAACAAAGTAAACTCTACATGCGAAGTCACAGACCCTACCCTAGCAAAATACCTAGCCGTGGTTTCCAAGCTCAAAAGCCAATTTAAAAGATTTGAGCTCACAAAAATCTCGAGGTCAGAAAATGAACATGCTGACTCACTGTCAAAATTAGCCTCTGACAGCTCAAGGGGACTGAAGTCAGTCTTTGTCGAAGTCTTAGATGAACCAAGTTTCCAGAGGTCAAAGGTGATGGAGGTCAGTACCGATCCTGAAACCCCCAGTTGGATCGATCCCATTAAAGCTTATCTCCGGGATGGGATTGTCCCAACTAACAAACAAGAAGAGATGAAGTTGCAAAGAAAGGCATCTCGGTACACCTTAGTGGATGGCGTCCTCTATAAGAGGTCATACTCGCTTCCTCTCCTTCACTGTTTAACCCCTTATAAGGCCGAGTACGCTCTTCGCGAGGTGCATGAGGGTGTATGTGGGAATCATGTCGGAGCTCGGACCCTGGCCCACAAGGTACTTTGGCAGGGATACCACTGGCCAAACATGCAAGATGATACCAAGAAGCATGTCTAGAAATGCCAGAATTGCCAATTCTTTGCACATCTCACCCACCAACCAATGGAAGAACTCACTACTTTAGTGGCACCATGGCCTTTTGCACAGTGGGGGATCGACCTCCTAGGTCCTTTTATCAAGGGTACAAGAGGGGTAACACACCTAGTCGTGGCAATTGATTACTTCACAAAGTGGGTGAAAGCTCGACCTCTTTCTAGCTTGACCTCGAGAAAGATTAAAGACTTTGTTTTCAGTTTGGTTATATGCAGATACAGAATTCCAAATCAAGTTGTTGCCGACAACGGACCTCAGTTCAACTGTATCTCGTTCAAAGACTTCTGTTCCAACTATGGGATTAAGTTGGTATTCATTTCTATTTATCATCTTGAGGCAAACAGAATGGTTGAGTCTGTCAATAAGGCCATCTTGGAAGGGATTAAACCGAGGCTAGATCAGGTCAAAGCCAAGTGGGCAGACGAGCTCAACGATGTTCTATGGGCTTACCGAACTACGAGCCGAACAGTCACAGGTACGCGACTTAAGTAGCTTTTTATTCTTTTTTTATCTGAGGCCATTACTAGTTATATGAAATAAACCCCGAGATTACAATTCCTCCTAATTAGGCAAAACGCCCTACCACTTGGCTTTTGGGATCGAGGCAGTCATCCTTGTCGAAATGGGCGTCCCAAGCCTAAGAGTGACCCATTTCGACACAACTCGAAATGAGCAGTTACTCAGAGAAAACCTCAATTTCTTAGACGAAGTCCGCGAGGAAGCTCGACTTCAGACATTAGCATACAAACAGAAGCTAGCCAACTCATACAATAGACGAGTTCGACCTCACACCTTTAGAGTTGGTGACCTTGTCCTCAGAAAGGTAGGACTCACCAACTTCGAAACTCGTTTCGGCAAGCTGGCGCCACACTGGGAAGGCCCATATGTAATAGCCGAAATACCACACCCCGACGCTTATATACTTCTAGACGATGAAGGTAAAAGAATTCCTAGGGTTTGGAATGTAAATAACTTAAGGAAGTTTTATCCTTAATAAAGCTTCATCTTATTCAAATTCTTACGTTCCGAGCTCCAAATCACAAATCCACCTCTACCTCATCTTTAATGCAGTTATATTTATGATCTCTTACCCTTAGAGGTCAAAAAGTTAGTATTTTTGGCCTGCTGTATTAGTTGCTAGTTCGCTACAATTTCAACATCATAACTCATTTTAACGCTAGAACAATAAACGACATAAATTTTTAAAATTCTACTTCATTAATCTAAACTAAAATACAAATTGTTCTTCAAATACACTAAAAATCACAAAAATACAAAAGGGTGAGCTGGCCAAGCTCAATCGATGATCTGGAGCTATTGGTCCACTTCTTCATCTCGCACGTTGTCAGCCACCTTCGTTCTTGGTGCCACCTCGGCCTCCTCCTTGTCAACAATGATGAACTCGAAGTCCAACGTAGGAGGAAGGATAGTTTTTCCAGCCTCGTCTCGTTCCCAAGTCAATTTAACCTCAGGACGAAACTCTACTGTCTTGCTATCCCCATTCTCCTTTACCCCTGCCTCCTTAGGGCCAAACGTGATGTTTGTCACGTCCACCTCCAAATTCTGCAACTTCACCTTCTTGCGACAATCAGTGAAGGCCATCACCAGAGTCGGTAAACGATAGAGGTCCACCACCTCGGCAAACATGGGAGACTTGACGAAGTATAAAACGTGCTGCTCCACAGAGTTGTGGACTGCCAACTCGGCTGACTTCTTCACCTCGGCCAGCTTGCTATCCCTTCTTGCAAGTTCCTCCTCGCACTGCTTCCTCTAGCTTAGCAGCCCTCTTGGAATTGGCCAACTCCTCCCTGACCTTCTCCAGCTCCGAGGTCAGCTCATTGAAGTTCTTCTCCGCCTCCTCCTTTTGGCGGCTGAGCTCTTTGTTCTTCTTAACCAAGGCAATTCACTCTTGGAGACAATCGAAGAACTCAATCGCCATTGCATTCACCAAGTTTGTGGTCTACAAA